GGGCAAAGGTGTCCTCGTGGTGTTCCCGGGGTTCCAGCCCCGCCACGGCCGGCGGGTGGAGGCAGGTGAGGTTGTTGTAGGTGTAGATGGGGACGTGGGCGTCGTCCCCCTCGGCCACGGACTGCACGAAGCGTGGCACCACCACGGGGTGCTGCAGGGAGAAGTCCCTCAAGCCTTTCAGGGAGCAGTTGCAGTGCCAGTTGTTGCCCCCCAGCCACAGCTGCTCCAGGGCGAAGGAGGAGCACAGGAAACCCACCGAGAAGGTCTCCAGAGAGTTGTTCCTCAGGCTGAGGTACCGTAGGTTGGCCAAGGGGGAGATGACGGCGTTGTCCAGCCTCTCCAGCTGGTTATGGGAGAGGTCGAGCCAGAAGAGTCTTTGGAGCGGGGCGAAGGCGTCCCGGGAGATCTCCAGGAGCTGGTTGGAGGAGAGGAAGAGATACTCCAGGTTGCCCAGACCCACGAAGAGCTGGGGCGAGAGGTGGTTCAGCCTGTTGTGCTTCAGGTCGAGTTCCAGGAGCTCGTGGAGGTCGCCGAAGCTTTGGTCTTCGACGGTGGAGATGACGTTGTGCTGCAGGAAGAGCCTCCTCAGGCTGGAGAGGCCCGAGAAGGTGTTGGCCCGGATCCTGCCGAGGCAGCTGTGCTCCAGGTGGAGGCTGTGCAGCTTGGTGACCCCCTTGAAGACGTAGTCAGGGAGGACCTTGACGCAGTTGGCGGACAAGTGCATCACCGCCACGTTGTACAGCCCCAGGAAGGCCCCCACCCTGACGTCCTGGAGCTGGTTGTTGTTGAGGCTGAGGACCTCCAGCTGGCCCAGCCCCTCGAAGGTCCTTTCGGCCAAGCTCCGGATGCGGTTGTGCCCCAACTGCAGCTCCTCCAAGAACTGGAGGTCTTTGAAAGTCCTGGGCCTCAGGCCGGTGATGGAGTTGGTGGAGAGGCGAAGGACGTGCAGGCTGAGGAGCCCCAAAAACGTGTCCTCGAAGAGGGAGACGAGGCGGTTGTGGGAGAGATCCAACCACCTGAGGGACTTCATGCCCATGAAGGCGCGGGGCGCGATGGCGTTGATCTGGTTGTGGTTCAGGTAGAGCTTCTGCAGCTTCTGCAGCTTGACAAAGATGTTGATCTTGATGCCCTTGAGCGCGTTGCCGCTCAGGTCCAGCTCCTTCAGCTCGGTCAGGCTGCAGAAGAGCTGGTGCTGGAGGTAGGGGAGCTTGTTCCCGGCCAAGATCAGCTCCCTCAAGTTGGGCAAGTCGTGGAAGACTTTGTCAGGCAGGACCACGAGGGAGTTCCAACCCAGGTTGAGGTACCAGAGGTTGGAGAGCCCGGCGAAGAGCCCTTCCTCCACCTTGCTGAAGTAGTTGTTGTTGAGGCTGAGGGAGACGAGGTTCTGGGTGTGCAGGAAGGTGTGAGGAGCCAAGTGCTTGAGGCGGTTGCGTTCGAGGTGGAGGTGGTAGAGGCTCCTCAGCCCGTGGAAGGCGTGCTGCTCCACGCTGGCCAGCTGGCTGCTCTGCAGGTCCAGAAAATCCAGGGCCGAGAGGTTCCTGAAGGCGGCGGCGGGCAGCAGGGTGAAGTTGTTGCCGTCCAGCCAGAGGGCTTTGGCGTTGGGGGGCAGGTCCTCGGGCAGGCGGGTCAGGTTACGGCCGCTGCAGAAGACGTTGAGCT